AAAAAAAAATTCCCAACCTAAAAGTAGTGCCAAAAAGTCTTATAATGAAGTTTTTTTGGACATGGTATACGAACTGGCATCTTGATTCACGGACTGTCTTTGTACCATTCGCGCTTCCTAATCTTTCCTTGCGACTCTTCCAAGATCAAACGAGTCAGCTTCAGGAACAAATTACTCAAATCCAGTGAATCATAATTTATGGCATTTTGTCGTCTGAGCTCCCTTTCTGGGGCGAATTGTCTCAATAGTACGTGGTAAACGTGCACATAGAACATAGTTGAATCCTTACAGTTTTCTGATTACGAGAAACCATATACCTCATAATTTAGGAAGCGTGATTATTATCACGCCCTTTTGGGTCAAACATAGCCCAAAATGCAACTATTTAGATGGCAAAATTCTGAACGCAGATTTTTTTTGACTTCCAGACTGTATGTCCTTAGTTGTGACGTGGGACACAGTATCGCATACCAATATATCGTGAATACTGTTTACATGTACTCTATCTGCCCAGCTCAAAACGACATGAGATATTGTCAATCATAATTTACAATTTTTAAGCATAATCTGTACAGCGACATAGCCCAATGTTTTTCTATCCATCTTGGACTGGAGGGTGATTTTCTGACTATAAAATGCCGCAAAGAAAACTTACTTTATGAGAATATTAATGATTTTTGAGTGGAAAAAGACTTTTGGCAGTGGGTGGCTTAGAATTTGGAATAGTAATATACGATTTTCGTGGATTCAATGATAACAACAGTAGACAGGCAGTGTGGAAGGTTTATGTATGAACTGGTAGACGTGCGATTTTCATCTTCTACAACAGGTAAGTGGGTAATCACTCTGATAGCATAACAACTGGGGGCCGTGCTTTGCCCTGAGGAGCATCATTGTCCGATGAAACTCAGAATCTTGCGCTGTATCCCTCGACGTAGTGTAGGGTATAATGTTACTTCCAGTCTGAATGCATAGCTAAGGTTTCGATAAATTACATTGACAGGCATGCAACCCGAGTGAAAGAGAGAGAATTAGAATGCCCAAGAATCAATTTGCTAGGAAAAGCGTACAGCCTAAAGTGAAGCGAACATCATTACTTCTCATGATAAAATCTCACAAGATTTGAGAGGAACCTTATAGAACTTGTAAGAGTGCATTTGACAGAACACAATTGTTAAAAGTGAAATTACTTATATCTGTTCAAGCGAAGTTGATCCACCTGCTGTCAACTTTCTCACGCCGCATACCCTTGTGAACGGCTCAATAACCGATTTGCCCATATATCGGTATATTGCTACTAGAGGGCTGCACTAAAAAGTAATGGTGTCTCAGCCTCAATTAGACAATGCGATGACACTTTACTGATAAAACCTTTTCAAAATCCTATGAAAGCATGAAAAAAGCAATTACAGAAATTTACGGCACATATTCGGATCTCATGTCAAAGCGTTTGTTCAAAAACAAGTCATCGCTTGGAGAGATTATGTAGAAAAGTTGCATAAAAACTCTTCACCCTATATTGCTGTGCCTCCACAGCCCCAAAAAAAGCCTTGCTTAAATTTTCTGGTGAAAGATTAGGATCAAATGAAGAAGAGGGCAAGCGCAAGGTTATTTCGTTAATTTTAATAATAGTTCAAAAAATCCCCCCATCCGAATGCAATGGCGGTCTCAGAGGCTAATTGGGGAACTCATACTGGAGCGTCCCGTTTATCCATTGAACTTAGTCTCGTTTACTCTTTGGGTCTTCACGCTTAAAGTTTCAAACTTACAAGAGGAACGATACGGTAAAGTGCCATCCATTTTACACACGACAGGTTAATTTCAGCTGAATCCAACCAAGTTCTTTGCCAATAATGCGCATACGGTCTTCATGTCCTTATATAGCCAAGGCCACAATGTACGCAGACACGTTCAGACATATCAGGCATAAACCCTAGTATATTCTTGAAAACTTCTCAAACTCGATTTTCATAGATTATGTTTATTGAAGAGTGATCACGTATGATTTGAGGTAGGCTAAAGCGGAATTATGCGACGGTGTTCAGTCAGAGCTGGATTCTTCAGACAAATTCAGATCATGCGGGTTGTCAGAACGCGATGGACCGGCTTTTTTTGGTAATCGCCCTCTCTTTTTGGAGGCAACTTTTTTCGGAGGCTTTTGTGGCTCCGTTGACATCTCCGGTAAAGATGAAGAAGAACCTGAGAACTAAGAAAAGTGTTTGAGTAAGACTAAAAATACCATAAGATTCACCAGTTTTCTTAGCCAATCTAGCCAATGCCGTCTCCACCCTCTTTGTTAGCGTTGTTTTTTGCTCCGCAGGAGACTGTTGTAGCACATGAGTGTAAGAAGTAATGTGGCGTTGGTATGATGCCTTCCCGCTTATAAAGTCATTCCACCGTTGAAGTGCAGTAAGTGTTTGCTGAAGAGAAGAGTCATGAAGATGTACTTCTTTTGAACAGTAGGATACGGTAGATAGAGCCTCACCCTTTCAAACTTTGCATTATCCCATCCTAGCCTCGCATAAAGCAACGTACGTACTTTTTCGATATCTACAACCCTCCAACGGAATCTCTCTGTCGATCTATCAACGTTTGGTCGAAAATAAGCTGCGACAATGTCCGGATTGACAATCTTAATGAGAACCAGAACGCCTTCCTCTATTTCTGTGGACGACACTCCATGGTCAGTTTTTAGCAGTTTTCTACAAATAAAAAACTTAAGCTGAAAAAATCTTACAGATTTAATCCTTTCAAAGTCATTATGCTTCTTGATTAGGACACGGAGTTTCCTACGTATGGCTAATGGTTCAGGTGGTTGCACATCAGACTTGAGAGTCATCAACCACTCATTCAAGTTTATGAGCATTGAAAGAGTCTGTAAGTATATGAAG